CAAACTACAAAAACAGCAGTTTGAGGATGATGGCACAGCATGTGTTTTTTAATGACTTTTCACAAGTAGAAACTTATTCCTGTCTGATTTTAACTGCATTTCTTTTTCAATGGGAAAAAGAATAAATAAAAAAAATAAAGAATGAATAACGTTTTGGGCACACGTTTAATGAAAATACAGCTAACGGAAGCCAGAAAAGTCGAGTAAAACCCTGCACCTATTGAAGTTTGTTCATCTCTTCAAAGTTAATCGAAGGTCGATTCTATTGCCATTTCCACCACATCATGATTACATTAAGATGAGGGAACACTGCGTACACAGAACATCATTCAATATTCTGATGTTGCTCTGCAACAGGTTTCAGCTCTTGAGTCTTTCAAATGTCTCATTTACAGCTTTATTTACTTTTAATAAGGTGAATTACAATCCGACAGCACTGAAGACAAGAGTCACGTTTCTCACAATGTCCAATTCAGAAATGTAACGGTAATCTTTCAATATTTATCAGAACCAACTGAGCTACTGTAAACCCTCAGGAATAACCAGTTTAGCAAGAGGTTCAGGCAATACAAGTTAGCATAAAGGTTAAATTTACTGTCCGTTTCTAAGTTGAGAGACTCCAAAAGATTTGATATCTCCAACCTGCAACAGATGAGGCAAAACAACCTGACTCTCAGGGAAATTGATTGGGCTTGAGTGAGGTGGTGGAGGAGGAAGAGGAGGACTTCTGTTGTCCGTCCCCACATTCCAGGGCTTGAACACCGCTGTCGCCAAGTAGTCCCTGGAGAGAGCAAGGGGCTGCTCACAAGCCAGTGCCTGGTCGGCGAGGATATCCAGGAGGGAACATCCGGGAGTCTCTGGAAGTCCGTCTGCCTTTGGAGGAGAGAAGGAGACAGAGACGCCGGACTCCACCTTCAATTCTTCAGTCCCCTGATTGCTTCTGCACCTGTCTGGACGCTTCTCAGTTTGACAGCTCTTGGCCTTGTTTACTCTGAACATATGAGAACATGCACATCATTTAAAAACAATCTAAAATGATTTCAAACGCAATCCAAAGAGTTTGCTGGACTTTCTTACAGGAGCGAAGCAAAGAGGCCCGACAGCTTCCTGCTCTCCCTCATCAGCACCCTGAAATAACAATGAGGTAAAAATCTCTCATCAATATGGCAGGTTTTAAAATTGCAACAGACCTGGACTGCATCCATCCTTTAGGCCAAAGAGGTTTCACTTCATTGTCAAGCACAGTCTTCATGTACTCTTCAAGCTCTTGCCCTTCTTTCCCCTCCTTTTGACATGTTGCCATTTTCTCCTTCAATAAGAGACCCAAGCAATCTCTGCATGTTATGAAAACAAGCGTTACAAGAATCGTCCACATTTCTCCTCAGATGATCTGTGCAGCAGTCCACCTGATCTCCTGATTCCATTTGAATAACTTCTTTGGAACAGCTTTTCTGGCACTTTTCTCCACCACCCTGTCCTCCTCCGTTTCCCTGAGACAGATTTGGAAAGACGGATATGCTCAGCCTCCAGTTATATACATACACAACATGGTGTATATAGTTTTTCAAAGTTTGGAAAGTTTATTTAAAATCAGTCTTCTGATTACTCTTACATTCTGTGTGCAGCATTAGTTTGGCGCTAAGGAAGGCCAATGGGATTTTGACTCTGCTACCAAAATGTCAACATTTGTCAAGCAGTAGAAACTGAAATCAGCTAAAATAATGCATTTTGGTGAAAACTTGATTTTGACAGTTTACTTGCACGACTCAAAAAGCTAATATTTAGCTTTTTGGTGAAATTTATGGAAAGTGTACCTTTCCCCATGTCAGTCTGATGGACATGGTGGATGTATTCTGGACTTTGTAGCTGATCAGGATATCTCTAGCGATACCAGATTTCAGTTTATTATGAAATGTCCTCCAAAAGATTAACATTCCCAACTTTATATGAGTACAATACTTTAACAGTGCTGGCAACTCATAAAATACTTAACTTACTTTGAAGTCTTTGCTTTCTCATAGGCTTGGCAACTTTCCTGGAAACAAGCCACCTGCTCTGGCATTGACCTGTCGATGGCCTCTTTAAGTTGCTGCAGTTGATCTTCTGCACCAGGAGTTTCCTCCTTAAAAGTTAGACAGGGTTAAAAACAGAAGTCCTACACTACTTATAAATAAATATTTAAATTCCTAAAACACACTCACTTCATGTGTGATCAGCAGTTTCTTGACTCGTTTCATCAGAGTATCTTTACTGCAGGGCATGAAGGAGGACAGGTGCTTGTAGACCTTGGAGCGAAGCTGGCTGCTCTGCTCCTGACACTGCAGCTCAATACTGGAGCAAGAAACAGGAGGAGAACGCCACACTCAATACAAACTAATATAGACACACCAAATGTTAAGCATTCAAGTTGGAGATATGCACTTAAATCTGCCAAACTTTATGTTTGACAGTGTATTAGCAGCTTATTTTAAGTGTGCTGCATTTTGTAAATGTCTAATTATATTTAGCTTCTAAGAATGAAAGCAGGATCAGCTCCAACAGTGAGGTTGAATAGTAAGACCGATTGTTCAGCTTAATAGCTTCTATAATTAGGTTACTTTGGCTTGTGAAATTTCCCTATTTTACCTTGCTTATGTTATTTCACCGGGAAAAAAACGAAAAAAGAATAGGTATTAAGTAAAACTACAACAACAGTAATGATTCCTTGGCATTTTATAGTTTCAAGTATATATTTTTTAAAAATGCAAGTACAAGACAATTTGAAATTGCGCATGTTTTGGATTAATTTACTTGAGCAAAATTGAGTTGATATCAGGACTGAAGAACTTGAGTTTTGATTCCCCCTCCGATGTCTTGGAGGCCTAAAAAAAAAAAAAAAAAAAATACGTGGGTCTAATACACATCTTTTCATTCAAAAAGGTTCCAGTGATGCACACAAACAGTGACACAGGAAAACGAAGCTGTTACCAAGTGTACCAAGAAAAGTTAACCTCTTGGTACACTTGAGATAAACTAACTTACAAGTAACTTTTTAGCAAGAAATGAGGGCTTTTTTAAATTCAGTTCTTTAATATCATTGAAAAAAGATTTCCCTTGCTACATGGGAAAATGTTTTGTTATAAGTGGAATAATCTGCCGGTGGAACTAGTAATTTTGCAACAAAATTCACTTAAAAACAAGCTAATACATCTTGCTTAAAAGATACTTATGAATTGGTTCCCCCTAAAAAAAAAAAATTCACACATCTTACTGTCACCAGGTTCCTAATGCTGTCCTCCAGTTCTGGGGGAAGTCCCTCAGGCAGCGGGGCACTCTGAGTCAGAACCACAGGACCGGGTTCAGCCTGGAGCTGAAGTTGCTCTGACTGATGCGTCAGGAGCAAGCTGGTCTTTGTGGTTAAAAGTTGCGATTCACCTTCAGTCT